TTATTTGAGTATTTATTTTTTCCAAAGAAATCCATGCAGAGAAAGAGAGAAAAAAGAAAGAGAGAAAGAAAGAGAAGAGTGCCTTATGTATATGAATTCATGTAGTCTTTTCAAAGCCCTATGAAGACGGTTCTGCGTTTCCCTATTTTACAGACAAGGCACTGAGAGGTTAAATAACCTGGCCAAGATCACAAATCTAGTAAGTGGTAGAGCTGAGATTCAAACTCCAGCAGTCCAGTCTGTGCAGAGCGCTTGGCCATCGCCACTCTGCAGTACTTCCACGTTACTTTCCATTTTACCTTCATTGAGTTCGGCAGGCTTAGCAGTGGAGAGGCCCTTTATTTTCCCTCGAGTGCTTTGCTAATAGTGAGAGAAGACTGTCGCAGGCAAGTGGGGAAGCCTCGGTTCTTATGCTCCTGGTCTGAACATCTGGGTTTCCCACAGGTATGATCAAATGAAAGAGACTGTAACATTCAGTGATACTTTGAAAAATAAAAAAAAAAAACCCGCTCCGTTGAAGTGGTTATGGATAGCAATTCTTGAGGTTCATTTCTAGAACAATAGCCAACAAAATAAATGTGTAGCTATAACTCGATGCCTTTTTCAAAAGTTCTTAGCCATTATGAAATAGTTTCTAGAAGATTCCCCTAGCTCATAGTCACTGACCAGACTAATCCTCTGTAGTTGGCTCATCTCTTAAATTAGTGATCAGGGCGTCTTCCTCAGGTGTGCCTACATTGGCCCTGGGCCTGCTACACGTCTACAATCTGTCTTCCTCAGCAGCCAGTGTCTTTATAACCTCTTCACAAGACAGTCTTTTCAATTAGCCATGGGAGAGACCTTGGTTCACTTTCTGCTCTCAGCTCCTACCTCCTCAAGCACATTAGAATCTGAAAAGAAAACCAATAAAATTAGACTGCTGCAAGAAGTTGCTGATTCTAGTGAAATCTGCGAGCTCCTTTTTGAAATCATAGCTGTTCTATTCTGTTGCTTTGCCTTAGCAAGATTCTCACCTCTTCCGATAAGTACCGTAGCACTTTTTATGAACTGGAATTTTAATTCACTTTTCTTCAGCAGCTAAGACTTTATAGCCTATTTCTGCTATGGATTGGGAGTTACAAAACTTCTATCTACACCTGAAGCCATTTGCTAATAGAGTTGGCGTTCCTTTC